GATGCTATGAGATGGGCATGGCATGTTGCCATGGGATCATACATGTCCCCATAAGATAAAGGAGAAAGGCACCCTCTTTAGGTCATAAACACCTACACAGCTAGAATGAATATCTGCTGTCCTTGGATGGAAAACTCCATGACTTCCCTTCAAAGGAAATCCAATTTGAGAGTAATGTTCAATGTGGACTAATAAGGTGGCAAGAGCTATATCAGACTTGACTATAAACACAAAATATATCTTCTTTTTGAAAAGACCCCAAAGTGGGTGGCACCTATGGCTCAGTGGGTAGGGTGCCAGCCCCATATACCAAGGGTGGCAGGTTTGAACCTGGCCCCAGCCAAACTGCAACAAAAAATATCTGGGCATTGGCGGGCATCTGTAGTCCCAGCTACTCAGGAGGCTGAGGCAAGAGAATCACCTAAGCCCAGGAGTTGAAGGTTGCTGTGACCAGTGACACCATGGCACTCTACTGAGGATGAGAAAGTGAGACTCTGTCTCAACAACAAAAAAAACCCAAAGTGTTATTGAATTGAAGCCCAGGATCCTTTGCCTGTGTGCTCATCACACAGCAAAGTAGGCTCGGCGCCTGTGGCTCAAGTGGCTAAGGCGCCAGCCACATACACCCAAAGTGGCAGGGTCGAATCCAGCCTGGGCCCGCCAAACAACAATGACGACTGCAACCAAAAATTAACCAGGCATTGTGGCGGGCACCTATGGTCCCAGCTACTTGGGAGGCGGAGGCAAGAGACTCACTTGAGCCCAGGAGCTGGAGGTTGCTGTGAACTGTGATGCCACAGCACTCTACCCGGGGGGACAGCTTGAGGCTCTGTCTAAAAAAAAACAGCAAAGTAGACATTCTGCAGCGAATAGACTGGTATCAACAGCAGCCCTGATACCAGCCATTCTTTCTTCTAACCTATATCATCATCTAAATTATAATTGATATTCACCAGAAATTTAAAAGGTGATGCAATTCAGCAAATAAAGGCCAAGTGTTTTTTTTTTTTTTTTTTTAGGCCAAGTGTTTTTACTTAAGGCATTTTAATTAGGATGACAAACTTAAAAGGTTTCTACATCCTGCTTTTGCGAAGGGATGAAGCGCTCACTCCAACAGGCTTCAGGAAAATAGGCCCCAGACCGTGAAGCTTCCTGACACTCCTGCTGACTCAGGAGGTGCCATCCTGGGAGGGTTTTCCCAGCAGCCATCCAGAAATCCACCAAGTTCTTGGGAGCTGGATTTTGGTAAAGCACAAAATGGCTCACAACAAACTATGACTCATGGCATGAAACTCTAGGAACTTCGCAGTAAGCCAAATGCTCACGGTATGTCGGAGCCTCCTGGATCTTCACCTCCAGCTCTGCTCCCTTTCCCGGCTCCAGGTTATACTCTAGCTCTCCCTCCATCTCTGCATGTCCCAAACTGAACTCATCATTCACCCTCCCCTAGCACCACAGATGATAGGGTTTTTGTTTTGTTTTGTTTTGTTTGTTTGTTGTTTTTTGCTCAGGTTTCCTTTCCCTCCCCTCTGAGTAAATCTGCCTCCTGGCCGTGATCTTTGGCCTCTCTCTCTTCGCACATCCTCTCACTCAGTATGGCCTGTCATCTCTGCTTTCAGACATGTCTTCCAGACTCTATTGCCTCTTATTAGGTCATCAACCACTAGCATTGACTGACCCTCCTCTCACCTGGGCCACTGACCAGTTCTGTTTCCCACTTTGGCTCTGCTGTAGTTTATTTTCCAGAAAACTTAAATCACTTCTTATCACTCCCTACTTTAAGCCATCCAATGGGTTCTCAATGCCCTGAGAATTAAATCCAGAACAGCCTAGAAAATTCTACATGGCCTGACCCCTGCCTATGTCTTTATCACGCTCCTCTTCACTACACCCCAGCTACCCGGCAAAGACTTCCCTAAGGCAAAGTAGGCACACTCCCTGGCACTTGTCACCTCCTGATGTTTTTATTTATCCATTTCTTTACTTTTTCATTGTTTCCTCTGCTAGAAGGAACATCTCAACATAAAGGACCTTACCTGATCCGTTTACTGCTATATGTTTAGCCCTAGCACTATAATGGGCATTTTGCTAAATGGATTAATAAATTTGGAAAATGGATGAACATCGTCTACAATTATATATTAACATAGAACATGTTAATTCCACAAAAGTGGTGCTTTTATTTGCTGTTAGATGAGCCAGGTTTCATTACCTGTGTGACTTTACAATCATTAATACCATTACTCTCAGTTTTGTCATGTGGGAAATGGATATAGTAATAGTTGTGATCTTACAGAGTTAGAAGACATAAAATACTTGGTGCCATGCCTGGCACGTGGTAAACATTCAATAAATCTAAAGATTAGTGGAGTGTTAGTGTTCTAGTTATCTTAAAAACAAGAATATTAGTTATATTATGGAAAATGATGTTCCTTCTTGATAGTAGTCCCCCCAAACTGAAGGATGTGAGGAGAAATCTCAGATAAATCCCTCTTCTCCATTCCCACCAAACTCTGATACTCTCCAAGACAGAACTAACACCTTCCTCCTCACTCCCCTAGAATACCCAAATAGCTTCCCAACCACTGTCCCTGACTTCAGATTTATGCAACATAGTATTTTGATTAAGAAAATGGGCTCTAAATTCTCCCATTAAGGCCTCAAGACTTTGAATGACCTGGTCCCATCCTTCCCAGCAACCCCACAAACTAGAGAGTCTTCTTCACTCTAGTCAGAATGATACCCCATAGTGAGAGGGACCTTGGCATAGTGGTTTAGAGCATGAAATCTGAGCCACACTGCTTGGCTTCACATGCCAGCTACGCACTCACGAGTTACTTAGTCTCTCTACGCCTCAGCTTTCCCACCTGTAAAATGGCAAGGATAACAGCACTGCAAAGATCATAAGGTTCTTGTGAGAATTGTATAAAATAGTAAAGCACTCAGCACAATACCTAATATTTAGCAAGAGACAATGGTGATCATGATGAGCCTTCAGTCAAAACGCAAACCCAGTCACATCACATATCTAACAACCTTTAGTTAATGTCCATTCCCTAGACAAGATGAAGTTCAAAATCCTAAGTGGAGGGTACTAAGCACAGTACAAATTGTTCCTACTGTGGCCCTAACCCGCCTTTCCAATGTCATTTCTCATCATTCCCCTCAAGTCTCCCTACAGTCAGATCCAGAGTCCATGCTTTAACCAGTCAGCACTTTTTGCCATCCCCTAAACACACCGTGGCATTTTGTTTCTCAAACTGTTTCACTTGCTGAACTGCCTTCCCTATTCCTTTCCACCTGCTAAATTCCTGGTTGCCCTTCAACTCCCAAACAAATGGCCCTGTTTTGGTGAAGAGCTCCCTAAATCTTCCAGGTAAAATCAGGGGCTCCCACCTCTAAACTTCCACATGATCACCTAGAAAACCTGAACATACAATCCTGGGTTTCCTTTGCCAGTTTTTTTCTTTGTGTCTTTTTTTCTCTTTGGTCTATTTGCTTCTTGCTGGCCTATTTGCCTTCTTTGTTTTCCTGAATGAACTTACAACAGGTGTTCAATCGCTGAGCGTTGGACTGAAGTAAGATAAGTAAGTTCCAGCACCGCGATCCAAAAATTGCAAAAACATTCTATTAAGAAAACAGGTGAAACAAAAGTGGTTCCTTGCTGATCCTTTTTTAATCTGTCATCTTATTGATTTGCATTTCATTTTCCAATCGTCTTTAGAGCTTGAGCCATTTTAACTGAAAAATGGATCAAGCCTTTCAAAGTAAGCTATTCCTAAAGGTTTTACCATTTTAATATATTTTTGCGCTAAAGTAATTCTAAAACATCATATTCAATTGTATGCCTTTATTTATTTTTAAAATCTTATTAGTAAGATTTTAGTGGCTTTTACGCAAGTTGGAAATGTCCCGGTGCTCCTAGACAACACAGTATATAAAGGATTGCTAAATCTCCCAACGTATGCTCTGTAGAACACTGATCTATAAAGCTAATCTATGCAAATAAACAAAAAGGACTCTATGGTCAAGTTTAGGATAAAAAAATACATGCTATATCTCTGTATTTAGAAGTAAAGGTGCTTTAGCATATTAAGAGCTCTTAAAGGCTCACCAGCCAAGAACTCAGTATTTCCCAAACTTGTTTACTGGAGAACCCTTTTAAGCCCCTTGCCACAAATTTTCCTGGAACTCACTCTGAGAAATACTGCACCTTTAGCTTCTAAATGACCCAATACCACTAGTTTCTTGGTCATAAATAACCCTGTGAGTTGCGCAGAGATTTAAAAAGCATCCAGCTTTCTCACCCCTCCAGACCTTCACTAGCACCTGCGTGTCCCTGCTGAGTTATCATTCGAAGTGTGTCCAAAAGAAATGGACAACAAAGGGTTCGTGACAGCCCTGTTGGATGGTGCTCCTTTACACAGAACCAAAATCCATTTCTCTACAGATCCCATCCATTCATCTTAAGGCAGCCTCCTAGAGTCACAAACAGTAAATCTAAGGATTGTATCACTTTTTAGCCAGAGGGCCTAAACCATCACATAGCCATCTTTGGCCACTGGTAGAACAGCAATCAGAAAGCCTACTTATCTCATCTGAAAAGTAAACAGAGTAAAGTGGGGAAGACCTGCAGATACCTGGCATACCAAGTCATCATTAATGGTGTGTAATGATGGGCAGATCGTGGCTCGGTGCCTTTGAAGGCTGAAGTGAAGCTTTCTGTGCAATGACACGTGGGCAGTGTGAAGAGTCCTAATTTGCCAACAAAACAACCTAAATCTCTTTTATGAGGTGAGCAGTGTGCCTTAGGTAATAAACACTTAAGTAATTAGATGGTTTTTATGGAGATAGCTATGAACTGAAAAATGGGGAAAAAAATCTTAGTAATAGGCCGACGCCCAGGGAGACAGGTATATAAGAGCCAGGGCACAGGAGAACAGCATCGAGACACAAACAGACTTCTCCTATAACCCCACAAAACCCCAAATCCCAACACCATGGCTTGCTGTGTCACCCGCTGCTGCAGTGTCCCTACCGGCCCCGCCACCACCATCTGCACCTCTGACAAATGCTGCCGGTGTGGAGTCTGCCTGCCCAGCACCTGCCCACATGAGATCAGCCTCCTGCAGCCCACCTGCTGCGACTGCTGCCCCCCGCCTTGCTGTGAGCCTGACACCTATGTGCCAACCTGCTGGCTGCTCAACTCTTGCCACCCGACGCCTGGCCTGAGTGGGATCAACCTGACCACCTATGTCCAGCCTTCCTGCGAAGGTCCCTGCGAGCCCTGCTGTTAACCAGCCCAGTCTTCACACAGCTCGGTGCCGTGGCTGCTCAACACCCTCCATGCTACCCAGCCTTCCACATTCCACCGCTGCCTACATCCAGGGTGAAGCCACCCCAGTTCCCAGGGCCATCTTTTCATGCAGTTGCTCAACTTCTTAATTCTCTGCTGCTTTGGGTACATTTGGAGATCTCCATTCTATCTTTTAGGCTATTTCATTGCTCTTTGAGAAATGATCATGTTGACTATTTATGAATAAACTTCATTCTGGCTTAGCAAATATGGCCTTGTGACTATTTATTTCCATGTTTCTTTTGAGGGAATGATACCTCAACCCAAACAGCAAGTTACCCCCCTAACCAAAATTTACTCCCGCAGAATTCTTATGGTAGAATTTATTGAAAAAGTATAGATCCTGATTCTTTGTGATAGGCAAAAAAGTGAAACAGTCAATTGGTCAGTCTTAGGATCTTTTTGTTTGGTAGTTTTTTTTAAGACATCCACTGAGCCGTGCACTGTGATAGAGGCTAAAGATTAATATAATGTTTAAAAAATATTTGATTTAATTTCATTGATTCTGATACTGATTTCTCTTTCTTCTTTGATTGACTAAACAAATTGATCATTATGCTGGTGTGAAGAAATAATGTGACTCTCTTAGCCATAGCCATCGCTGAAATTCCAAACCCAAAAACACAAAGCAATTTGGGGAAGTATTTGTATTCGTTTCCTGATAGAGGCTATCTTCCAGAAACATCAATTTTGAATGAATATTACCATTTATTGATTATTCCTTGCTCCCTCAAATGAGGCTTACATTGAGTTACATTAGTCATGACTATGCCTGGAAGTTTACTAGTCTGTGTGACATATAATATCATATCATTGAAATATACTTATAATGGCTGGGCACAGTGGCTCATGCCTGTAATCCTAACACTCTGGGAGGCTGAGACACATGGACCACCTGAGTTCAGGAGTTGAAGATCAGCCTGAGCAAGAGTGAGACCTCATCTCTACTAAAAATAGAAAAACTAGTTGGGCATTGTGTGGGCACCTATAGCCCCAGGTACTGGGGAGACCAGGAGATCACTTAAACCCAGGAGTTTGAGGTTGCTGTGAGCTATGTGATGCCACAGTGCTCTACCAGAGTGACAGAGCAAGACTCTCTCTCACACACACAAAAGGAAATATACTTAGAGCATCAGACCATGGTGCACTTCACCTCCTAGAATAAGGTGACCAGATTTTAACATTGGTAAAGTGGGACACCATTGATGGGGGGGTTCTTAATTAAAAATTTGGTCTATATGGAGTAACAAAAATTTTCATAGAATGCAAAAATAGTATTGTAATACATTTTTTTAATTTCAACATAAGTACAATTTACAAATATAATACATTTTAAAAAATTATGTATAAGGCAGAGCCTGTGGCTCAAAGGAGCAGGGCGGTCCACCTGGGTGACCTTGCCCAGGAGGAGAGTAGGGAGTTTACATTAGCCTTTTCATTCCAAATGAAGTTACATTAACCTCTTCATTCCCCAAAATGGAGTTACGTTAACATTTTCAGCAGCCGCAGTATATTCCCTTCCCGTTGTCCTGCCATTCCCTAGCTTGTCATGCATTCTTTCCAAAAATCAGGACTTTTTAAAAATGCCACGGGATGTGGGACAAATTGTTAAAAATCGGGACTGTCCTACCAAAAGTGGGAAGTCTGGTCAGCTTATCCTAGAAGCACCAGTGTCCACAAAGTGCTTCCCTGCAGAAGTCCAAACTCTGGCTCCATAGGGACTCTCCTCTAAGCTTTTGAAATAAGAACCCCAGTGGGGCAGGATCCAGAAGTACTGAGCCCAGATCTACAGGCTCCCTCTTTCAATGTTCTAGTTCAAATAACCTCAACCTCTTCCCTTCATTCTCCAGCCCTCAAGCTGGTAGCTGCTTCCTGTTATATACATATGTTATATAACTTCAGTTTTCCTTTTTGCTATTTCAATCCTCCAATACCTGTGTAACAAATTCATGATATTAAGATTCTATCTATTGAAATACCTTGCATGGACTTCATCTTCTTTGTTTTCCTGAATAAACTTGATACAAAAGTATGCAATAAGTACCTGTTATCCTTATTTTTCCAATTTCTTCCCTTAAAATATCTATTCTCTATGTTTCCCACTTCCAGATTCCACCCATAATCCAGGCATCATGCTAGATACTGGAGCTACTAAGATGAATAAAGCAATGTTCCTGCTATGAAGGGGATTGCAATCCAGTAAAGAGAACCAATATATGTACCAAAAAAATGCAGCAAAGTGTTATGGGAGGATGTAGGGTTCAAAAGAGGCACAAAGATTGGACTGGCTAACTCTACCAGGGACAGGACAGAGTGGGAGTAGGACAGTGTTATAGAAGCCTTCGTTTTTCTTACCTGAAATACACTTTCCTGATATCTAAGCATTGCTGATTAAAAATGATTTAATCGAAATCTTCCATGAAGCTTTATTTGATCATTCAGCCCTCTTTCAAGGCATTTTCTTTTATGGGAATTTTCACAGTACCCACAGGAGAACCTGCCATTTATTGAATAACTCTATCATGCCACACATACAATGCCGTATGATTTACATAAGTAATTCTCATTTAATATTTATTTAACTCTTGAAATGGGACAATAATTGGTAGTTATTACTTTCCCCAAATGTTAAATCAAGAAAAATGAATCTTAAAGAGGTTAAATAGCCTGATCTAGGTCTTGCAACTTGTAAGTTATAATCAGGATTCAGTCCTAGCTCTGAAACTTTTATACATAGTATTATTTTACTAAGTACTCAGTTAAATGTGGTTGAATCATGTGCAAAGGGATTTATGGCCTCTTTTATCAGAGCATGTACTCCCAGAGGATGAGGACATGCATTCTATTTTTCTGTCCCCACCACACCCTTCAGAATATATTGAAGATTCACTAAATATATGACTGAGAGTAAATGGATTTGCTGACTAGTCTCCTTCTCCATAGTCACATATTAGCTTTACCCATGGCATCTTAACAATATAACTGAATTAAAGTGGGAGGAATTTTGAAAAAGTATTTATTTGACAGCAGCCAATTATCAGCTTTGGAAATGGCTTTGAAAAATAGAATAGGTAGGTCAGCACTTTGGGTTTCTGAAAAGAAAAAAACTTTTTAAGCTGTTTTGCAAAGAGACACAAGCTCATTTTTCAGCCCATATATTGTCTCAAGAGCCTGTGTTTAAACTTGCAGTTAAAACAACCAGTCCTTTGTAAGATTAAGGGCTTATTTGTGTTTATATATAAAAGCATGTCTCATTAATACAGTGAATTGTATAGAAAATTATCTAGCAGGTTCTGCACTTCTCAAATAAGAATATGTTATATAACTTCAATATTTACTTATTCCCTCAAACTCATGCAAAGTGAATCTGGTAGGGAAAAAAAAATCTGCTTTTGACTTCCCAAATATCTCAAAAGCACACAATTTGAGAAGGATCATTGGTTTCTTAATTCTTAGAGAAATCACTCTTAAACCTTCATACTCAACAGTGATCACTTGTAAGAAGAAATTCTGGTTGGTGGAAAAGAGGAAAGCCAGGGTAGATACAGATGGGTTTACATGTGATTAAGTGGAGAACTATATTGACGCCATCTTGAATCTGGGACAAGAAGTAGGTTTGATTGTAGCAACACAACTAAATAAAACTAAAGGAGAGCTCATGCCGTGATATGTAAGAAGTCAGTGAGTTATTTGTGTAGAACTATGCGAACAACAATAGGGATGTTCCATCCAACATTGTGAGGGGTGGGAAGCCATCTTCTCTGAGACAGGTGGATGTAAAAGACCTACAGAACACAACTTCCTTTTCAACAAAATATCCACCTGATCCACTGTTGTTATGTCTGGCTGTGATTCCTGTCTCCAAGGATCCTACAGTGTCCCCATTGGCCAGGCTACCACCATCTGTGCCTCTGACACATGCTGTCAGTGTGGAGTCTGCCTGTCCAGCCTCTATCCCCATGAGCTCAGCCGCCTTCAGACCACCTGCTTCAACACCTGCCACATACCACCAATGAGCTGGCTGCTCAACTCTTGTCACCTGTCTCCCAGACTGAGCACAATCTCTGTCACCACCTATGTCCAATCTTGTGCATATGGACCACCTTGCTACTAGCTAAAGATATTTTAAAGAGCTTAACCACATTGCCCTAGGCACCTACACTAGTAATTCAGGTCTGCTTGACAAGTGCCCATTAATTAGGGGCTCTGGAAGAAAATCCTGTGCCTTCAGTTTTGCAGAAGTCTTTCCCTATTTTAAACAATGATTTGAAATTGGAAGTGGGAAAATACTATCAATGTTCTCCTTACATTAAAATTAAACAAACACCACTACTTCCCAAACCAAACCATGTACTGTTTTGATGTTTAATGCTATAATTACCCAACAACTCTTGACACTCGCATTATGAATCTATAAATATATCCAGCAGAATTATGCTTTCTGATGACATTGACATAAATCTCACAGTCAAAAGGAGGCCTCGCAGGGATATGTGGGTATCTAAAGAAAACTACAGATACTAACACACATTAGGCTCTAAACTTAAAATTGTCATAAATTTAAAGTCAGCACCTACTTTTAATTATTTTTTTGCCTACCTCCAACTAAACTCATATGTGTCCTACAAGAGGTAGAGATGGTGTCAATTAGAGATAAACATCACAGAAAGAAACCCAAAGATTGAGCCGAGCCCTGTATTTTCATTGTCTCATTTAGGTAAAGCTTTAAATGGACAACTGTTTGGACAAGTGTAAAATAAGAATCACGAATAAAATGAATCACTCTGCTTATGTGAAGGGCTGTTATTATAAGAGGCCATTATAAAAATAAAGACCTTTTTATTATAATCTCTAATTTAATCCAAATTCAATAAACATTTGTCAAATGCCAACCATGTTTCGGGTATTATCCTGGATGCCTAAAAGAGGCAAACAAGATTAAGATGCGATTCCCCCTTTCAAGGATTTCAAGGAGTGAGGAAAACAAATGTTAAGTGCCAAATTCTAAAACAGAGCAGAAAGAAATGAAGTTGAAACGAAAGGATGGGCAGCACATTTAGTGACAGCAAGAATGAAAACATCTAGAAAAGTCACCTAAAGTGTCTTTATGGAAGAGATATTTGGCTGAAGCTGGAGGGATCAGTAGTATTTGAGAAGGAGGGAAGTGGTGAAGGACATTTTAAGCCAAAGGAACGAGTCAGATCACAGAAGGATAAAGAACCTAGGAGACTCTAACTTTCATTTTTATTTGCTGTGCTTTATGATTAACGTATGCATTATCTCACATAGTTACCATTTTCCCAGTGAGAACACTTAATCCACTCTCAGCATTTTTCAAGAACACAATATGTTGTTATTAACTAAAGTCACCATGTTGTACAATAGATTTCTTGAACCAAAACATTTCAAGATAAATTTCAAAGAGAAGTCAAAGAGAATATAAGGAAGGTCATAGAGGGTCTTCTTCAGATGGATTTTCTACTTTCCAAACCACTGGTTCACAATGAAAGAGTTTGCTAAATCAAGTGTAAAATAAACATTAAACATTTCCTTGATGATTTCAATACTAGTTCATTAACTTTGAATTCTAGAGTATCTGGGAGGACGCTTGAATTTACCTTTCAGTTCTTCAACATTAAGGTGCATGCATGATGTAAACCCCCTTGGAGTTTGTTGTAAATTCCTGCTAATAAAAATAGCTTAAAGATTATTTGTAAATAATAATAAGTAAATATTAACACTTAAGCAAAAATTAAACTAACTATCCCATTTTAAGATTCCTAAATGTAAGGTTCTTCTCACATATAATGTATGAGGCCTACTTACCAATGGCATTTAGACCTTTCCACGGATTCCTTTCTTCGCTTTGGAAAAGAGCATACTGGTTTTTGGTACTGACCCCTCAGAAACAACCCACCAAGGTGTTTATACTTTGTGTTTATTCAACAAACAACAAATTATGTAGTTTAGATTACACCATCTGAAGAGACTTATGCTGACCATGGGCAGGCATGGGAAGATGCTGGAATCACAGAAGACTACACATTGGAGCTTATCTAGTCCAACACCCTCATCTGCCAACTTACAGTAAGACAAATCAAGGCCAATTGAGGTGAAGATCGCTGTATACGGCATTCCTCAAAGGAATTTATAATCCAGCTGAATACCCAAGATATGAAAATAAATGAGCATGCAAACAAAGTAGGAAGTTAGTAAAAATGAACTTCTGTTATCACAAATGGCTGTAGTTTAAATCGCCTCGGGAGAGATCCCATTCCAAAATTCACTGTTTTTCAGTGAATCGTTTGATTTATCCTTTCAATTCTCACTTCGTCTTATTTTAAAGTACATAAATCATTGACCTGAAGACGAATGAAGGCTGAAGTGGTTTTCTTTTAATGATACATTCAATGAAGGATAGCGACTGGGTGGATCTTTCCATCCAGGGGATTGATACTTTGATGGGCATAACTTTGAGAATACAGACCCTTTTAGAAAGAAAAAAAAACCCAAAGAGGAATACATTATAAATTGCCTATAGAGTTATTAAAAATAATAAAAAGAAGTTTCATCCTACATCATTCTATCATCTTGCTTGCTCCATAAAACCTGGATTAGACCATCAATAAATAAAAAATATGTACAAAAAACTTTATAAGTAATGCATATATATCTGAGATATACACAGTCATATGACACATTCATTGGTAAATAACCCTACCCTTGTTGACTATACTGAATTTAAAATAGACCAGCTAATCATTTGAGCTGCTCCTTTGGAAATTAATAATTAGAAATCATACCACTTTACCCACACTAGTTTACAGTAAGAGGAAAAAAATGACAAGACGAGTTTAGACTCTGAAATTATAGCTGAATTGTCACTTGGGCTTATTACCCATTATTCACTTAAGGTTTGGCATACCAAAACCCTGTGAATATAAAATGTGATGATCTTATGACAAAAATGACAAGTTGATGAGTCAAAAACATGATTAATTTAACAAGAACAGGAACTTCTAATAGACAAGAAAATGCCAAACCGATTAGAGAATCTTAGTGAAAAAGGAATGCCGTAAACAAAAATAAAGACAGGAAGCCTTCTGGTTGGGCCAACACCCACTGGGGAGGGTATATAAGAGCCCCAGTGACAGAGGAGGAGACATTTGTACCTCAGAAGCCTCATCTTTGTCAGAAACCAGAAACAAACCAGGCTCCCAACGCCATGGCCTGCTGCGTTCCCTGCTGTGTTCCCCGCTGCTGCAGCGTCCCCACTGGGCCCGCCACCACCATCTGCACCTCGGACAAATGCTGCCGCTGTGGAGTCTGCCTGCCCAGCACCTGCCCACACACAGTTTGGCAACTGGAGCCTACATGCTGTGACAACTGCCCCCCGCCCTGCCACATCCCTCAGCCCTGTGTGCCCACCTGCTTCCTGCTCAACTCCTGCCAGCCAACCCCAGGCCTGGAGACCCTCAACCTCACCACCTTCACTCAGCCCTGCTGTGAGCCCTGCACCCCACGCTGCTGCTGACCTGTGGCTGCTCTGCCCTGTGCCTGTCCATGAAGAACCCAGAAGCTGCCTATTTAGTATTCTCTTGCCTCAGTAGCGTATCAGGTGTTAAGGTAGACCAGAAGGCCTAGATAGAAAGACCTTATTCTAGACTTTAATGGAAACTAAAATAAGACATTTCGTATGGTTATTTAGATGAATAATCATTTGGCTCATTTGGCCAGGTGAACATCTAATGTCTCCTATTTCAACATACTATTGAAATCTTTAAGACCTCAGACTATATTTCTTGATCATGTTACTTCCTGGATCTCATTTCCTGTATTGGGTATGTTCATAGAGGCAAAAGAGTTTCTTGATGGGTTTTACAATAAACTTGATTTCTCTGGCAAGAGGTGTTCTCTGTTTATGTTAAATTTTGGGTGCAGTTCATTCATTTTACAAAGGTAAAAATTAAAAGAATGACTAACACTCTTGCTCACTTTTCATTGATTATCTTTTATATTCTCCTTCTCTTCTTTCCTCTTCCTCAGATAAATACAATTCTGGGCCAAGCCAACATTTATTTACCTACTCACTTGCTAGGTGAATCATTCATGTAATCCTTAAAATTGCACTAACAGATGAGGAAAAAACCATGAAGCGTTAAGAGTAATTCAGCATTCTCAAACTCATAAAGTTGGTTACTAAGAAAACCAGAATCCAGACTTTTGTCTGGCTCCCTCTAAAGCCCAGTTCTTTATACCTCATCAAAGAGCCTCCTATACGAATACAGCCAGAAGCTTGATGAACACAGTTATGATATTAACTTAAAATATGCAAGAGAAATAAAAAGCACAAGATTCTCTAACAACATCCACATCTGATTATAGTAGAAAAAAGGTATATGGGCCTGTAGCTGAAAATAGGCAGGTATTTAATTCTAATATCTGGGTTAAATAATGGGCCTACCTACTCTGACTTGATTTTCTCTTAGGATTCAAAGTGGTCAAGTCTAGTAACTAGAGAACATATCTCTGCTAGGAACCATACTCAGTATGGTTCCCACCAATCAGTAGAATGCCAATGCTTTTCAGGTGGTGCTAGAGCTAAAACTCCGATTAAACATCATTTAATTCATTACATTATTTTATCAACTTACTTAATTTCTCTCTTTCTAAGCCTAGAGAGAATACGTATGTATGTTATATATTCAATACATATATAATGCATATAGATATATTTATACATATAATGCATATATAAAGACACAAGTCTAAATCTGAAAAAGCACAGAAATAAAACCAAAAGAATGGATGTGGGGGGGAGGGTAAGGTAGGGCAAGGAACAGAAGAAGCAAGCTTTTAAGGAAACATGTTTTTAAACGTCCTCAATATACCTGTCAGTCTCTGCGTAAAGAAATTCCTCAGAGGATCCCACAGGCTTCCTAGCTGTTCAATTTTGAATGAACAGAAGTTAGCAACCATGGGGTAGATGGCATGCTACCATGGGGTAGATGGAACACTGTCAACAAGAGATTTAGTCCATTTACTCATCATTTGACCAATATTTTTTAAGTGTTTCCCCTATGGCAGGCACCATATTTGTGCCTAGAGATGTGAAGATAAAAGAAATGTTGTTACCTCATGTGCCTTTAAATTTCTCCCAAGTCTGGCAAAGGAGATGGACAATTTATCACAATGGCCTCGTATGTGTATTATACCTGTTGTATGAACATAATTACAATGCTGTGTGGGTCCTGCTAGACCTGGGGCGAGCAATGTGCTGTGCTTGCACACAAGACGAGCAACTGAATCCCACCTGGATTCAGGGATGCAATGTCAGGGGTGACAAACAGTCACAGGGCACTTGGTTTTAGTCAGCCACAGGAGGTAGGTGGGAAAGCCTGCAGTGAAGGATGCATTGAAGATGGGGAGAAGGGAGGGAGGGGAAAAGAAAAGAAATACCAACACCCTGAAGTGGGGGCTCCCCAGAGCAAAGGGCCTTGGACTGCAACCTTGAAGCAATGAAAGATTTGCAGCAAGAGACTCACATAATCCCAATTTGCTTGTTTCTTCTCATTATCAATCTGTGATTTATGTCTTCACTGACCCAGATAGCCCTATTGACTGGAGAAAAGTCCAATTAAAACCCAGCAAGTCAGCTGGGCAGGGTGGATGGCCTGAACTCACAGGTTCAAGACCAGCCTGAGCCAGAGCAAGACCTCGCCTGTAAAAATATACGGGCGTTGTAGCGGGCACCTGTAGTCCCAGCTATTTGGGAGACTGAGTCAAGACAATTACTTGAGTCGCTTTGAGTTTGCTGTGAGCTGTGACACCATAGTACTCTACAGAGGGTAACAAAGTGAGACTCTGTCTCAAAAAAAAAAAAAAATAGGGAAGTGCTTGGATGAGTGTGTGTGTGTCTGTGGGTGTCTAGATTTTTAGCACTTTGAAAATCTCTCACCTCATCAAGCATCACCAGGTTTTTTCTGCATCAGCTTAAAGGGAAAAAATACTCTCTATTTTTAAAAATAAAATGGTTAGTAGCTCTGACACACAGTTTAAACTTCCATTTTTAACCACATAAAAGGTAGCTCAATCCCAGTAGGTGCTATATTTAGCTTTTAACATGTCAGTCCTCAGGCCATGTAAGGCAAATTATCTCACCTCTCTAGGACTCACCTTCATTCATAAACAAAAAAGAGTACTTGCCAGGTCTCTCAGATCACTGCAGAAAAAATAAATTTTGGTAAAGAACTATAAGCCTTGTCAACAAGAGAGAAGAGTTTATTATCATAAACATGTTACTTTATACACTTCTAATCTTTAAACTTAAGTCTTATTTATAATTAGAGAAACATGATATTCTGCCTACACAGTAACAATTTCTTTAAACTTTTGAGGTGAACTCAAAGTAATATTACATACTAGATAAGAGATTGACATGTTTCTGCCATGAAATTCTATTTATAAGGATAGAGTATTCAGGTCTTTTTTTTTTTTTCTTTGTAATATTTCCTTAAAATGTCAAAAACAATTTTCTTCTTTTTCTTTCTTAATTTTTTTGCTCTTGGAGTCTAATCTTTGCCCTTCCTATTATGATATATAATAGCAGCAATCTATAATATACATATTATGTGTGTGATAAACCCTTCCACTAGACTATAAAATTCCCTGAGGGCAGGGATAATGTCTATTTTGTTCACAACTATATATCCAACTTTTATTACAGTGCCTGCCACTTAATAACTGCTCAGTAATTGTTCACTGAATTTTTTTAAATAATGGGTGAAATATTAATCAGTCTTAAGTAAAAGGGTGTACAATTTGGCAAGTATTCATGGAAATAATTAATCTGGGGAAAGTCCAGGGACACCAGCAAATACTATGAAACCTCTTTTTTAAAGAGAGCTATAGAGAACTTTTTCAAATTTTTAAATTTATTTATTTATGTGCCCACCACTTTCTCTGGTTACAAGTACAAACTTATGTATTGATCAATTGGTGCAATATCTAAGATAAATGTTTGCTATTACCTAAAATGTTGCTCTCTTACTTACCTTCAGCTCTTTTTTTTAATCAATTTTTTTTGTTTTTTTGAGACAGAATCTCACTCTGTTGCCCAGGCTAGCATGCCATGGTATCAGCCTAGCTCACAGCAACCTCAAACTCTTGGGCTAAAGCAATACTCCTTCGTTAGACTCCCAAGTAGCTGGGACTACAGGCACCCACAACAACAGCCGGCTAGTTTTTCTATTTTTAATAGAGATGGGGTCTTGTTCTTACTCAGGTTGGTCTCTATTTCCTGCATTCAAGCAATCCACCTGCCTCAGCCTCCCAGAGTACTAGGATTACAAGGTGTGAGCCACTGTGCCTGGCTAGAGATGGGGTCTTGCTATGTTGCCCAGGCTGATTTTGAACTGCTGGCCTCAAATGATCTTCTCACCTCAGCCTCCCAGAGTGCTAAGATTACAGATGTGAGCCACCACACCTGATCTCTTTGTTTTCTTCTTTCTACTATGTTTTTTGATCTTTACTTTGTCTTTAATTTGATCTGCAACTTACTTCAATAATATAGTAATTTATATTTGCATAAAACTTTGTGGCTATCCAGGGACTTTAACACTTTTTATCTGATGTGAACTTCCCGATAATATTCAGAAGATTATTGATATTATTGCCTTTATTTTGCATAGAAGAAAGAGGAGACTCGAAACCAGAATGAATTGCCTTAACAGGGAGGTAACCAACGCCCCTGGGAGGAGAAAAGACCTCAGGTGGTCCTTGTGATTCTGTTTCTCCATCCCCAAAACATGCAGACATATTCTCCCCACCCCCACCCTGGAATGATAGGTCACTGAGGAGGGACTGGAAACAATATAAGAGGAACAATGCCTTTCAGAATGAATGAGGCCAAGCTGAGTGGAAAAAGTTTGTAGTATAAGGATACCAGCTAGGAGTCCACCCTTTGCTCTTTCTTAAATGCTGAATTATGCCTGACATCTAAATGGTATACTGGAACTAGACTCCAGGTCTTTCCTACCATAGCCACATTTAACTGGGGAGGGGGGAATGCAATACAGTGTGGAAAAGGAGAGAGAATAAAACCAAACATCAACAGATTAATCTATCTCAGGCTTACAACTTCACTTTCCATTGGTAGCAATTTTACTTGAATTTTAGTATTATGGCCTTAAGATATTCTTTTTACTTAGTCTATGTAGGCATAAGCTAAAAAATCAATTTGCACACAATTAGACATGAAGAAAACAATGCAAGCCTGATCACACTAGAAAGATAAATGGGGGGAAAAAAAGATAAATGGCCAATATGAGAGAATGGCCATGTGAGAGAATATTTTAACCTAACTAGTTATAGAGAAAATACAAACACAATAATTAAATTTTGGATTATAGCCATCAAATTAGAAAATACTTTTTAAATAAAATATCTATCAAAGGCATAGGGAAATGGGAATTCTCACTTAAACATAGCTAGAGGAAATAGATAATTTAAAAATAGGTAAATAGAATTATTCTG